CTCGGCAACCAGGTTACCGTTTTTTTTTTTACCTCGGTTTTTTTTTTGGCGGTAACCATAATGGTGGTCGAGTAGATCATGTTGTGCGGGGTGGAGAATCCTCACTCCGCGCAACGGGGGATGATCGCACCACGTTGTGTTAAAAATGGTCAAGCTTCCTCGAGGCAGTTACACAGTGCTTACAACTGTCTCTGGAAGTGAAAGCACCAGAAAATAAATTAAGTCATACGTAGCTGTCATCCGTACGCAAGGAAGTAAGCACAAGATGCCGAACACCCTTAGCAGGATGGCAGCTCACCCTTCATGCGACTCGCCAAATACCTCACGGCGCTTCGCGCTTGGTGATGTGAGAGCCTGGTCCGGTGAGAACCCGGCGTGCTCCGTCCCGGCTTTGTAGGGATGCGAGGTCAATGGTCAAACGATTACGGCATGCACGACTATGAGTACACCCCCCCCCCCCTCCGTCGCTGCACCCCCCTCGGTGTTTGCCATCAGGGTCGGGTTTTCGTCGCTTGGCAACGACGGTTGTAACACAAGTCGGTCACTTCGTGAGCTCGACAAACAGGTTACCGCTTTTGTTATTTTTACTTCTGGTTTTGTTTTGGGCGGTAACCATAATGGTGGTCGAGTTGATTATGTTGTGCGGGGTCGAGAACCCTCACTCCGCGCGAAGAGGGTGATCACACCACGTTGTGTCAAATTAGTCATGCACCCTCGAGGCAGTTACACAGTGCTTACAACTGTCTCTGGAAATGAAAGCACCAGAAAATAAACTGAGTCGTACGCAGCTGTCATCCGCACGCAAGGGAGTAAGCACAAGATGCCGAACACCCTTAGCAGGATGAAGCGCACACCTTTCATGCGACTCGCCGAATACCTCACGGCCCTTCGCGCTCGGTGATGTGAGAGCTTGGTCCAGTGAGAACCCGGCGTGCTCCGTCCCGGCTTCGTAGGGGTGCGAGGTCAGTGGTCTAACAACTACGGCATGCACGACTATAAGAACACCCCCCCGTCACTGCACCATTGCACCAACCCCCCACGAGCGATGACGTTCCTTTGCTGTTTCGGGTGGCCCTTTTTGTTTGTTTTGTAACGTTTTGTTTGATTGTCGCTACGGTCGTAATGGTTCTGGCGTATGTCTTTCTTTTCGTCGTTCTCTTTCTCCCCCTGTTTCCCTCTTATTTTTTCTTTCCTCTCCCAAGGGCGCACAAAAAACATTTTTTCCGGCACCTACACGACAAAAATATATTTTGAACCTCTCCGGTGGGGGGGGGGGGGGGGG